ATATATATAATTGTAGACTTGTACAAGTGATGTGTTAAAGATCTCAGGTAGGGTCTCAAGAATGCTTGGTATGTTCTCTGTCATTGAACTATACCCCTTATTTCCTAGATGATCTTGTCTGTGCTCTAGGAATTTATACATGGTCCTTATAGAAAATCAGGACCGTGGAGATAGTTCAGCAGTCTCACTGCCTGCCTAGGCAAACACAAGGACCCCGGTTTGATCTACCTCCCCACTACCACCACATGCTGTGCCAGTCCCACCCTGGGTGTGGCCAGCCAGCCACCAAGACTGGGCATGGTCACCCACACCTGTAATCACAGCACTGGGGAGGCCGAGACAGGAAGATCACTAGAGTTTGAGCTGCATAATGAGACCCTGTATCAGATACATAAAATTTTTAAAAGTGTTATTCTTTTTTTGAAATGTACACACTGCCATATGATTTTAATGGTAAAAAGGCTGGGGATGTAGCTCAGTGGCACAGTGTTTGTATAATATCCACAGAACCCAGAGTTCAGTTCCCCACACTGAAAAATAATTGTTAGCGGATTGCTTTCTCAGTGTTTAAAAAAATTTGTTTTATCATAGTTTTTTTCTGAATTAATTTTGTGCTTTTTCAAGGCTTACGATTACAGCACTAGGAGAAAAACTGAATGATTACTGGAATGAAATGAAAGTGAAGAAGAATGCAGAATATCCTCTAAATTTGCCAGTTGAAGATATACAGTAAGTACATTGAGAAATAACATCAGTCTCATCAAAGTGCACAAATAAAGCACTATAGGCCTGAATGCAATTAGTAACAACTTCTGGTGCACATAGGAATAATCATCTTTTCTATGAGTAAATGGGTAGTATCTGTGTGGGTGGATAGGACAGGATAGCTGAGATACAGTGAAAATAAAAATGCAGCTCATTGGGAAGCCCCTGCCCTTTTCCTGAATACCTATCTATATATCTGTGCTTTTAAAAGCGTGGGAAGCCAGGTATGTTGGCTCAAAAACTTGGGCCTGTGTCACAGTTACTCTCTCTCTCTTCTAGGACAAAATACTGGACACCTAAAACGGAAGGAAAAGTTCAGCTCGCAGTTAGTGGAGGTTTCAGTCCATACTCAGCTCGCTCCAAGGCAGGGTGGCACACAGCAGAGAGCAACCTTTCATAATGGCAGCAAAGAGCAGAGAGCAAACGGAGGAGTAGTGGCAACAATGGCTAGAGAGAGCAAGTCTGTCTCCCTTAAGTTGCATTCAGGATATCTGCCCCAGGCTGGGTATAGTACTCACACCCATAATCCCAGCAGAACTCATACCCCCAATCTCAGTGGATCATAAGATAATCACAAACTCTAGAAGTCCACCCCATGACTTCATAAAGCTTTGAGGGGGAAAGCTGGATACATACCATAACAGCCTGGAGGTTGAGGCAGGAGGTTCACTGGTTCAAGGTCAGCCTAAGTTACATAATGAGTTCAAGGCCAGCCTAGACTACCTATCAAGACCCTGTCTCAAAAAACAAACAGAAGAATAAAAGCATGGGAAATTTCTAGGGTTAAAAAAGTTGATAATGATAATCTCTTCAAAGGCTCTACTTTTTTTATTTTATAATCTTGTAGATTATTTTTGAAGTTTTATAGAACTATATAAATACATTTTGATCCCTTTTTTTTGGTACTAAGGATCAAACATTAGGACCATGAGTATGGTAAGTGGTAAGTGCACACTACCATAGAGCTACTTACGTACCCTCAATTCACTTTGTCTTTTTTTTGAGATAGAGTCTCACTGTAGTTCAGGCTTGCCTTGAACTCATGGTGATCCTCTTGTTCAGCCTCCTGGCACCACAGACGTATGCCACCATGTCCTGCCCAATTTTTTTTTTTTTTAAAGCAGGGTCTCACTGTATAGTTTAGACTGGTCTGGAGCTCATGGCAGTTCTGCCTCAGCTTCCTTAAGTGCTGGGATTATAGGTATGCACCACCACATCCAGCTTCCGGCCCAATTTTGTTTTTGTATTTAGGACAGGGTCTATGTCATCTACAGGGTCTCACTATGTAGATAGGACTCATAGTGATTCTTCTGTTGGCAGCCTCCCAAATGCTGGGATTACAGTTGCGTGCCACCACTCTGTCTCAGTCGCAGTCTCAGCATGCCCCCGGGGATGGGGGTGGGGTGGTAGGGGGATGGGCAGCACAGCACTGGAGAGGGGATGGAACCCTGTCCGCTGGGCTCTGCCTAAGCAGGCACTTTAGTTCACTGAGCTGTCTGGCTGGTGCACCCAAGTTTTTTTTTAAAAAGAGCAAATATGATACGTCGAATTTAGAAAGTACAAATTTTGCTTATTCAGAATTATGCGATAATAGAAAAGTAAAAATATTAACCATATAATTAATTGCTTAAATTATAATAATGTAACTGCTATATTTCTGTTCTTATTGTGCTTACAAATATACTGTAGATTTAACTTTGCAGGTGCTAACTTAGAATTCTAACTTATAGGGCAAGGTATTTGTAATACTTTTTAATTTGCCATTAACCTGGAAAATTTTAATGTGTTATTTACTAGGCCATGTGAATTATTTTGTTCAAATTGTCCTGTGACCATTAACCATTTTAATGCAGCCGAAATGGTTGTTCTAAAGTTTAAATTGGCATATGAAAAAATAGTCATTCACAGAATTTTCTGGAAATGAATTAAATAATCGGGCATTTGGTAGGAGTGAAGTAGAAAATCTGATGAAGTAGACTGTTACCCGTAATAATATCTTGCTTTTGTCTCATAGGAAACGTCCTGATCAGACATGGGTTCAGTGTGATTCCTGTCTAAAGTGGCGAAAATTACCAGATGGGATAGATCAACTTCCAGAAAAATGGTATTGCTCCAATAACCCTGACCCACAGTTCAGGTACCATATAGTTGGTAGTGCCCTTTTTGGACAGGCAGAAAGTACTGTTCAAGAGGTCTGAATAGGCGCTGGTGATGTGTTATTGCCATGTGCTCTTTCTGTCTAGAAATTGTGATGTTCCTGAAGAACCTGAAGATGAAGATTTGGTACATCCTACCTACGAGAAAACCTACAAAAAGAAGTGAGTGTTGCATTAATGTATGGTAAGAGAGGAGGGAAGGCCCAAATCATAAACAGTAATGTCTCACCTTTATGATTGATGCTTCTTCCAATACAAAGTTGGTGTATTCTAGTGTAATGTAAAAGGACTATGATATAGAGTACCTAAAAGTTGTTTTTTAAGTCTGTTACCTGCTGTGTGATCACTGAGTGTTTATAGCTATCCTATCTAAGACACAAAGATTGTAGATACTTGACTTTGTTGAGCCATGCACAGGAATTGTTAAGTGAATGTTCCTCTTAGGAGCATTCAGTCTTAACAGGTGAGGTGTGTATATTACTAATTAGAGTAAGGAGCTCAGGGGGAGAGATTGCTTCTGCTCAAGGAGAAGAGGGCAGAGAAGGATCAGGAAACCTCATGAATATGATTTTCGTGATCAGTGGGTAGCAGGATGTGTAAGATGAGTATACAGGGAATAGTGATTCATTCCAGTTAACTAGAGTAGATATGTGAGTGAGAGTACCAGAAAGTGGAGATGGGTAGACAGCCTGGGCCAACTGTAGGCTGACATGCTGGCTATAGAAGGCTAGGCTCACTGAGAATTGCCCAGATGGCTTTGCTCTAGAACACTATCCTGTACTTATGTTTACTGGCAGTACTGGATACAGAGTGCCTGTGCGATCTTCTAGTTCAAGGGCCTGCAGCTAAGGCCTGAGGGAAATTGAAAGCTTCAGGAAGACATTAAAGTATTCTGAGATTGTGTTTTTAAGGTGGGAAGAAAAAAAAAAGGAAGTATTCCTTGTCCAAAGCCTTGCCACTAATTATGATGAAATTAAAACAGAGCAGCATACATGTCAGAGCATTTGGTAATGAAGTATGTCATTGGAAAATAGGATTTAGAAGTAATAATGAGGCAAATGTGAAATGTTCCTTTCTCATCTTTCTTTTAAAGCAACAAGGAAAAATTCAGGATCAGACAGCCAGAAGTGATCCCTCGAGTACGTAAGCTTTCTATTTTATACCTTTGTCTGTTCTTGGTAGTACTTAGTTTAATGCATTTTAGTTTTGGGGCTTACGTAGTGGTTGGAAGGAATCTTAATCATTCAGTTCACATGTTTTTGTTTTGTTTTGTTTTTTGTACTACTCCCTTGCCCTCTTTTCCGTCCCAAACTTCTAACCTGGCAGCCTCATTCAGTGTGTTCAGTTTGGCATTGTCGGAGGAAGGGCAAACAAACACTCCTTTAAGGCTCTCGGTATACCCACAGTTATGCACAGTGTCACAGCAACACCTGAGGAGTCATGTTCTGGTGCTGACCTAGTTAGAGCCAGGGTCTTCCCTGTTGTTGACGTTGGGCGTTCAGTTCTCTTTTGGTTAGTGGTGCCAAGAAGCTCTGGCTGAGTGTGTGAATATAAGAAAGGAGTTGAATTTCCTATGTGAGGAGTTATAGTCTGTGTATAATGTATGTGTTTGAGTATAATTACATTGATGGAAGGGCTCAAGGGTGAGAATAGGTTAGGCAGCTCTCTGTAATTTCTTTCCTTTTTTTGATACAGGGTCTCGCTACACAGTTCAGACTCATACTGATCTCCCTGTCTCAGCCTCCCTAGTGCTGGGATTACAGGCATGTGCCACCATGCCCAGTTCTGGGGCCTGCACAGCATGCGGTACTGGGGATCACTTGCCAGGCAGGTGCTTATACCGTCGAGCTGTCTCCCAAGCCCTATAATTTCTTTATCTTAGAACAATGTTTTCATTCTGTCATGTTAAGTGCTGTAGTATGGGGTCATTACAGAGCATATAAAGGTTTTTTTTGGCTTTGTAGGCCACATGCAGACCCTTAAAAATGTCAGACCATTTTGAGCTTCCTTGCGGGCTGGATTTGCTTTATGGATCTGTTCACTGATCCTGGTTAGCACAGGGAATTGACATGTTCAGGCTAGTTCTCATGTCTTCTGGGATAAAAGGAATGGAGAAGATCGTATCTTGTGTTTGGGGAACATCACATTAAACCTACTTGTTTAAGTTCTGCCTTTCTTCTCCCACAGATCAGTGCTGAGCTGCTGCACCGGTCACCTTCTGTGCCGAGTCAGAGCTTTTCTCCTGCAAAAGAAAGTCTTCCAAGAGCACATCTTCCAGAAGTAGCCAATTCTTACTCAACAAGACTTCTGAATAATCATCGCATCTCACCCCAGTCCGACCCTGAGAACAGCAGGTGAGCGACGAAGATGTGCTTTTCCATTTGTTCCTTTATGTGACACTTCTAGGACAAATAATTTAGCTGTAGGAAATCAGTTTACATAAATGTAACAAGATTGCTTTATCTAAAGTCTAAACTTTCCCTCACTTTGGGCCTGCTACCTACCTATGTCATGTTAAAATTATTAATTATTGCTAGGCATGGTGGTGTGCACTAAGTGTAATACCAGCCATTTGGTAGACTGATGTGGGAAGGGTCACTTAGGTCCCAGAGTTCAAGGCCAGCCTGTACTCTAAAAATAGAGTGAGGCGAAAAGACATTAAATTGTGTCTGTTACAGGGTTTGATCAAACTGTAACCTCTTTGGGGCCAGGGAGATGGCTCAGTAGAATAAGTGCTTCCCTGGCAAGCGTAAGGGCCTGAGTTCAATCCCTGATTCTGAAAAAAAAAAAAAAAAAAAACCCTTTCTTTTGAACTTTTTTACAGTGTGAAAAGTACTTTTTAAAATGACAAGCTAGGTTGGTATCATAGCACTAGCACTGGGAGGCTGAGGCTGGTAAATCACTTCGAGTTCCAAGCTAGCTGGTGCTACAAAGTGAGGTCAAGGCCAGCCTACACTACATAGTGAGACCCTGTCTCAAAAGCTAAATAACTGCATGCCGTGCGGGCTCCTCCCCTGGGGTGTGCTGAGCATGTGAGCATGTGACCATGACCAAATCCGGGCGTGGTGGTGTACATCTGTAATCCCAGCACTGGGAATCAGGAAAACAGGGGGATCACTATGAATCTGAGCTGTGAAGTGAGACCCTGTACCAAATACATACATGAAAAAAGATAAATAAAATTAAAGAATAACCAGTTTCTAAATAAAGGAAAACATGAAGCATTTAATAATGTAATAATAGTGTGGAGTACAACCAGAAGTTCTTAGCATAACCCTTGAGACATGAAGCACCTACCCTTCTCACAGACTGAAGCATCAAGAATGGACGTGGTGTCTGGGGCCTTGTGGCCTAGGTTTGCTGCACATGAGAGAGAGAGGAAAAAAGTGTGCTGCCAGTTTTGTCTCTGCTGTCACTGGCAGACAGCATGCGGAGATGGCCTCCAGCTCCATGTTGATTTAGCCCATTGTGCTGCACCTTTATTTCCCCTGAAGTTCAGGCTGGTTTCTGGCCGTGAGGCTGGGATCAGACCCCTTCAGCCTATAGCAATCAGTGAACCTTCTGTGGGCTTGAATGGAACCAGCCATTGTTCTGAGTTCTGAGCTCAGTTGTCTACTCTCCAGGATGCCTCCTGGCCAATTGCTGTCTCCCAAGGGACAACCAGATCAAATCCACTCACCAGCCAGTGCAGCCCATGACATCCACTCCTCCATTGCACTGCTGCATTTCTCCATGGAGGCCTCTGGGGTCTCCAGCAGTCACCATGTGTCCGAAAATGTGAACTGCACCTCCTGTGCAATGAGTCCCTATTTGGAGAAGGCATCACCTACCACCGCCTTCTTTGTTGAAGTCTCTCTCCACTCACCCCTTGAGCTTCAGTTCTCACATCCGATCTTTCCTGAGTTCAGAGAACTCACCTGCTTCTTCCCTCTTTCTCGTCTCCTTGCATTGCTGTCTGGACAGCAAACCTCAGAGAGGCCCTTTCTCTGCTACTTACCACTGGGCCATTTTCCCAGAAGTCTCCTCTTGGCTTTTCTTCATAAAAATGATGGTTACACAAATTAAGAATTTATTTTAGAAGTTGGCTGACATTAAAATGGAGGAAGAGAATATTTAAAGTCTGTATTTAATTCATAAGTTCATAAAGCCAATGGACTGTGGAAAGGTGTACCTAAAATGAGTCTTAGTGAAAACAGAAATTAATATGATAGGAAAAATAGCAAGGAAGGTCCTAGATAAGAGAACAGAGTAGTTGAACAAGACCTCCTTGATACAGTAGACCAGAGAAAGTTGTGCTCCAGGCCTGCTGGAGAAGGGTGTAAACCAGACAAGCAATGTAGTTTCAAGAGTCTCAGAATGTAGAACACGCTAGGTGCCAGTGCAGGGGAAGTTAGGGGCAGAGGTAAGAGTCTTGCTTGGAAGTTAAGGCAGCACAGGCCAGGTGCTTAAACTACTGAGCTATATCCCCACCCAGCATAGGCTTTTAGATCTCTTATTCTATGAAGTTTGGCAACTGCTGTTTCTTTTTCTCTATCAGAAGATAGGAAATCATCTTTCTTTTAAAAAAAATGTTTTATGAAAAAAAATTTCATAACAAAGTAATGAAATAATAGATTGTATCATTGTTTTGAATGTATTACTCTGTGTGACATAGAAAAGATTCTGTTTTATAAAGGAAATAAACAGATGAGGAAATTTACTTTCTGGAACAGTTTGTAGAGCTGAAAAATTATATGAGCTATGTTAACAGGCATAAAGGAAAGCTTGTGTACTAAATGGTAGGCAGACAACTGTTCTACCTTCCAGTCCCTCCTGTTTCCTGAGGAAAGCCATAGGTAGTGACAGTTTGAGCCCATTTGGATGGTAGGCCAAGCTCTCTGTGCTCCTGGTTCTGTTCCACAGGGTGTCAGGGACTGCCACATGGGTGATCTTTATATAGGACAAAAGGAGAACAAGTGTTCAGTTCTTTGGTGGTGGGGGGGAAGTAGGGTAAATATTGAGTAAATGAATCTCTTAGTGCAAAAAGATAAATAGGTATAGAAAAGACAATGTGTTAGTACATGAGGCCAACATCTGAATATAAAGGCAGTTTTCAATGTGGGAAAGCAGAAAAAGGAAGGGTCCAGAAGAGAGGAAGTAACAGCAGAGCAAGACTTACTTCCATTAAGTACAGAGCATGGTGCCTGGGAAAAGACTGATTTCCAGGGCATATCATTCAAAGAATGCAAAACACAGATTAGAAGGGCAGAAACATTCAGTGATAGATGAAAACAGGTGGTCCTTTTACATTTGTCAGAAAGTAATTTCCAACCTGCAAGTCTGTGGAACAGTAAACTTGAGCAGGGACTAAAGGCATTTCATTTGACAGGTTCCTGGTACCCTTTCTCAGGACAGAGGTGGTGCTCGCTCCTCTGCAGGAGAGAGTCAGCCAGGAAGAGGGAATCCTTAAGATCCAGCAGGTCCAACCAACATGCAAGGCCTGGAGAGCAAGCCAGGCATGTAGAAGAGTAATCTGTTTTGATGAGTTTACAGGTCACCATGCAAGTAGAAAAAAAAGGCAAGGTTTAGTTTAGGGAAGCTTGTTTTATATAAAATGATAATATTACTGGTTTGCTTCATGGCTTCTCTCTGATCACTCAGTGTGACAAGTGGAAATGACCTCCCTATCCCCTAGGGGACATAGGAAGACATCTGATGTGGGTGTCACTCTGGGGTATGTTCCTTGAACTCTCTGGAGCACATCCATGGAGAGAAAGATGGATAGCATATATAGACCTGGTACTTCAAAGAGATTTGACGGTTAGTTCTGTGCAAGTTTAAAAATAGGCCCAGGCTGGACTAGCTGAGCAGCATGGTGCCTGCCTGGCAAACACAGGGTCCTGAGTTGGATTCCTAGTATCCAAAAAAAGGGCCCAGGCAGTTCTTAGAATTTCACAATTATTGTGAAATTTGTTGGAACAGGGTATTTATTTTAAAAAGTTATGTTTATTTTGAAGGCCGTTTATTTTGTTCATATCTATATTTGATAATCTCATATAAAATTTTTTCCAGCCTAAAACGGAGATTTTCTACTCGTTCCTCAATTTTGAATGCAAAGAATCGGAGATTAAGTAATCCAACCTTTGAAAATTCTTTTAAAAATGATGATGAGGATGATGAGGATGTCATCATCTTAGAAGAGAACAGCACTCCTAAGCCCGCTGTAGAACTTGGTGTTGAAGCTAAGCCAGAACCCAGCCACATTAAACAAAGTGGCATTCAGGTGAAGATTGTGGATGACACTGAGCCTCCTGGCCAGACTAGCTCCAGCTCTTCGTCTAGGTGTGATCAGGGCATGGCTGCAGCCACCCAGACTGAGCCTCCAAGTTTAGTTGTTAAAAAGGAAGAAACTGTTGAAGATGAAATAGATGTAAGGAACGATACGGTGGTGTTGCCTGTCTCTGTAGATGCTGGGGCACAGCTACAGGACAACCAAGAAACCTTTGAACAGTCTGTAGAGAATGCTGGCTGCCAGTTACAAGTACTAAGGAATGAACTCCTTCTAGTCACCCAAGAAAAAGACCACTATAAGAGACAGTGTCACATGTTTACTGACCAAATCAAAGTATTACAAGAGAAGATCCTAGAAATGAATGACAGATACGTCAAGAAGGAAATTTGCCATCAGTCTACTGAAACTGATGATGCTATGTTTTTATTTGAAAGTGTTAATGGCAAACCTGAAAGTCCAGACCATATGGTATCTCAGTATCAGCAGGCTTTGGAGGAAATGGAAAGGCTGAAAAAACAATGTAGTGCTTTGCAGCATGTAAAGGCCGAATGTAGTCAGTGTTGTAATCTTGAGAGTAAAAAGGACCTGGACGAAATGGCTGTGCAGCTTGATGATGTTTCTAAACAGCTGGACAAATGCACTGTTGAGAGGGACCAGTACAAAACTGAGGTGAGTCGTGGGAGTCCAAGGTTGTCATCCTCTAGAGCTGCCAGGCACTTTCACAAATTACTAGTCCTGTGGATTGAATGAAGCCATTAGTTCTAAACTGGACCATGGGGGATATCTCCTGGGGGATAATGGATATACTTCAGTTTTGCTCCTTATTGTGTCTTTAGGAGATTGCTGGAAAGTAGTCATAAATGCCTGGCAGTGCATAGGACAGTGCTCTACAGAACTAATTGTCCTGATCAGAATACCCATATCATTCATCCCCTTTAAGACTGCTACGTGGTGTAGTCCGAAGTTTCCATCCGTTACTGGTATACCTTTCCGTAACTCTACAAGATAGATGGTGGCATTCCATTGTAGAGATTAAGGTCCTGTTAGGTAAGACTAGGTTTGTGCAGAACGAACAAGACACTTGGAATACCGCGGAAGTGCTACATCCACTGAGGAGGTAGGCTGCTTCTGTATTGCTGCTGTTCTTCTCAGCCTGCACTTGTGTCTGAGGTAGCTCCTTGGGTCCAGGCATCCTCACCATGTTCCAAGCTGCAAGAAGGAAAAGAGGGAGGCTCCTCAGAGCTACTGTGTTTCATCCACCGGAACGGAGGCACCTGGCTTGCGCCTGTCGGCCTGGGAAATGCAGGTGCTATTCAGGGGTCTTTCAAGCAGGAAGGAGAAAAACAGTGGCTATCAGATGATTAATGACTTGTATATATGCCCCACTTCAAACTCTGGAAGCTCCTTTTATCTACTCTAGATACATACGTTATTTTTTATGTGGTATTTGAAAGAAAACTGGAACGTATGGTGCTGTACTGCCCCTGCTTGGAAATATTGTTAACTTAAGTATGCATTAAAACATTCTTCATGGTACTTACTATTTAACTTAATGTTGAATGTGTAAGAAGTGAAAGCCACAGTAATATCAGCAAACTTAGGTATTGGTCTTTCAGTTTCTGGGTGCCACTTAATTTTGGGTAGGTGACAATAACATTTTAAAAAGATGTAGAAGTGATGTTAAATGAGTGAAACTGCTTATAAAAAATTACTAGGACGTGTGTATTCATGTTTTTTGATAGTTGGTAATTTTTATCAAGCTAGTTTTCTGTATTTCTTAAGTTTGAACTTTGACAGTATTTTGAAATTTTACAATTATAAAAGCCGTTTATATTTTTGTCAGGTTGCTCTGTTAGAAATGGAAAAATCACAAATTCATTCCCAGTGTGAACAACTGAAAACAGAAATTGAACAGTTAAAATCTACAAGGCAACAAATAGGACCAGATGTTTCAACTTCAAGTAACATTGAGGAGCCTGTAAACTACTTGGATGGGGAAAGGTAATATTTAGTGACACATTGCCCTGGGCTGCATTTCTGGTTATCACACTCATTTGATTTGTCACCACACATTGGCTTTCAGTGGTACGTGTTTGTTCTGTCAGAAGAAAGTCCCTGTGACCTAGCATTTCAGAGTGATTCAACAGAAGTAATGGATTGCCACCATGGTCGCATTAACAGTTCAGGTTCTTAAGTGAAATAATTTAGAAGGGATAAAGAGTGGTTTGGAATGTTTTGAGGAGCAAAGTTAAAATTGAGCTACCTTTTGTTTATGGGTCCATGTTCTTATTTCACTGTATGTGTATGTGAATCTTTTGGGAAATCATAAAATTACCAAAAATGGTCCTCAGTGTGATAGCACACTCTTATGATTCCAGAACTCGGAGACTTAAAACAGGAGTCTGTGAGTTTGGACCCTAAAATGTATTGCAGTAAGACACATGGTCAGTAATCCTCAGAATCCTTCATAGGAACACACATAATCCATTATCCCTGCCCCTTTCTAAGCAGTTCTGGAGCTCCTTTTCTATGAGCTATCAAGGCTGCCTTGATGTCTTAAATCAGTTCAAAACCTTTATCTTTACTGGTCATTTTGACTTTAGGAAAGACCTGCCACTAGGTGCAGGGGACAGATTCCATGAATTAGATGGCTAGGGATTCACTGTAATAGTTAACTCATCTGCCTTTCTGTGCTTTTTTAGTAGCATTCAGCTGTGTTTCATCACACCTGGTAAAGACACTTTGTAAGCATGGAGGCCAAAGACCCAAAGTCTTGACCAGAATTTCTAAAGATGAGGACCAAGTTTTATAAGTACCTATATGAGTTACAGAGATGGATTCTCCTCCCAATTACTGAATTAGAAGCTGTTTTAAACAAGCCTCCAAATGGTTCTCTTGTACTCTAAACTCAGAGTAACTGGCAGTCTTTTAGTCTGTGTGTGGCAGCCATATGATACTGATGCCTGAAATGTGAGTAGTCTGAATTGAAATTTGCTTTGACTTCTAAAGCCCTTAGGGGAAAGGGCAAAACAGAGGTACAATAAGAAGTTTTGCTCTTTGAGACAGGATCTCGTATGTAGTTTGGGCTAATTTTAAATGCACTGCGTAGCCCAGGCTGAACTAGAACTCAAGATGATCTTCCTGCTTTAGCTTCCTGAGTGCTGGGATTATAGGTATGCACCACCATGATATAGTGTAAAACAATACTCTGGCTACACTGCTTTAAATAAAATATACCACTAAAATCAGATTTTTGTTTTACCTTTTACTATGGCTGCTGGAATATAGAAGATTCAATTTAATGCAAGCATTGTTTATCTTAGACAATCTAGACACTGCAAATAGGAATCTGACACATTGCTCATAAATAGCAAGAAGTGGCAGGGATAATCAAACACGGAAAAGAGTTGGTAAGAAGAGGTTGTATTGGTCATTTGCTTTCCTGTAGGACAGAGAGCTTATTTGTGGTAGAGGAGATCTTCTTGGGAGGAGATAGCATAGGGTTGGCTAATAACTTGTGGAAAACAAAGTGAAAAGGAATTTCACCTTTGATTGGCCATGAGTGTTAAGTGCGGAGAAAAATGGCTGTTGTGGGAGTAATTACAGTTTTATGCACAATACAATGAGTGGGTCTTTTCATAAAAGCTCGTAAAATCAGTGTACTCAAAATGACCATTTTTCTGCCTTGTGAGACTTAAGGGTGCACATCATACCTGCTTCAGAGTTCCACTCTAGAAAAGCCAGTGCTTTAATTAAATGTGGACTTACATGGGGTACAGAGAGAGTAAGAGCAACTCAGGCATTTCCTCATGTCCTATCTCTGAGAAGGAAAGACTGCTGCTTAAATACTTTTTTTTCCTTTTTGAAGCACCCTGGGAGTCAAATTGGGGACCTCAAACATATTAGGCCAGTGCTCTACCAACAACCCACAGTGCCAGCTCTGGAATTTTTTTTTTTTTTTTTTTTTTTTTGACGGAACTGGGGATTGAACTCAGTCCCTTGTACTTGCCAGGGAAGCACTTATTCCACTGAGTCATCTCCCCAGCCCCTGGAATTTTCTTTTTAAATCTGGAATACTGACAGTCATGAGCGAGGCATCAGAGATAGTGATGATCTCCAGTCAGTTTTTCCCACCGTTTCAGCGAAACAGTTCTTTGTAAATGTGGGGTGAACTTGAGCATGTAACAGATTCAGAGAAGTCCTTCTAGCTTAACATTATTTAACACAGAATTTTACAGGTTTATCTGACCACAGAGCTGTTTTTTCTCTTACATGTGTTTTAGGGGAACAGTTTGTATTTTCCTCAAAGTGAATGTAGAATTCAAAGAGATGCATTCTATATTCATAAACCATTATTTTAACTGGCATGTGACTTTTTTTTTTTTTTTCAAATATGGCTGCTTTCCAGGTAATAAGACTAAATTATAATCATATTCTCTAGTTTACATATTTTGCTAGTCTGTTCTTCCTCCAGTTTGCAAATTAAAAGATGTAGGGATCAAACCACACCACTAAATTAATGAAACATACTATTGTTCTTTTTTTTCATGTTTTTGTGGGTTTTTGAGACAAGGTTTTGTTATGTAGTTCAGGCTGGCCTTGAACTAAAACTCAGCAATCCTCCTACCTTGGCCTCCTGAATGTTGGGATTACAGGCATGTACCACCCACCTGGCTGAATTTCAATTTAGGCTAATATCTAACAGATGGAATGAATTATTAAATTCATGATCCAGTGCTCCAGGAGGACTTTTACTTTTCTTTTGGTTCACCTGTCATTCTACATAGGTTTAATTTTTACACTTTCATTCCAAGTTTTAAGATGCACATGTATTTTTAAGTCCCACTTGTATTTTTTTTTCTTTTTATTTTGAAAAGTAAAAGCAAAGCAGGAATAAAAATCAGAAACAAAGAAACAGGGCAACATACAACAGTACATATGTTACAAATTTTCAAACCAAGAATAGCTGATTAACAATGGTTGATATATTATCTTTCTTTAATGTATTTAGTACAGGGTCTACACTACACAGATCGGACTTGTAGTGATCCCTTCCTGTTTTTCAGCCTCCCAAGTGCTGGGATGAACCACCATGCCCAGTGCATGGGGGAGGGGGAGGTTATTAAGGGGAAAAAGGGGGGGGTTGGGGGCGCGGGGAGACTGGCACAGCAGGCCCGGGATCGAAACCCCAGCCCCTGCATCTGCCTAAGCACATTTTTCAAACTGCTGAGCTCTCTGACTGGCCCAGGTTGATATATTTTCTATTTTGTCATCATATCTGTTGCTCAGATTAGCAGATACCATTATGTAAGATTGGACATAGGGTTGTATATTACCACTTGCTTTCAAGAAACCTTAAATTTTTGTTGTCTTTTTTTTAAAGTTTGTTTTATTTATTTATTTTTTTATTTTTTGGCGGAACTGGGGATTAAACTCAGGACTTTGTGCTTGCCAGGCAAGCGCTTATTCTACTGAACTATCTCCCCAGCCCTAAAGTTTGTTTTAAAGAGAATATGGTAATAATTGATGTGACAGAAATAGTACACATTTGAGAGATCAAGATGTCAGTATTCAATTAAGCATTTTTTTTGGTATTGCACATTGCTGTCCTCAATGTAGTTGCTTAGTCCGGTGTATTTTAATGCTCATCTGATAAGTTTTCTATTTGTATTTGCAGTCTCAAGCTTCGATCTCTTCGAGTTAACGTGGGACAGCTGTTGACTATGATTGTGCCCGATCTTGATCTTCAGCAAGTGAATTATGATGTTGATGTGGTTGATGAGATCTTAGGACAGGTTGTGGAACAAATGAGTGAAATCAGTAGTACATAAAGTACTACTTGTGAAAATATAAAACCTGTGCCCGGTTTTTTCACATGTACAGCTTTCCAAATGTAAACAGTCTTGTTTTATAGTTAAAGTGTAATAGGTCTGTCATCTGACAGACTGCAGAATCCTAATTCTTACTGTATTCTATGCACAAATGCTTTTGAAATAAATGCCTACAAATGGTCGTATGGAGCAGGCGAATGGCTAATTTATGATTATTTTGAATGTAAATATTTGTAATTAACCCTATACATATTTTTATTGCTCGAAAGTCCTTCAGTGTTTCTCACCAAGAGCTTTTCAGGTTTTTGCTAAGCCTGGTGTAGTTTTTTTCTGGTTCCCAAAGTATTTTTCTCTGAATTGATGGCTGTCCTATAATGCAAACACAAAACATTACTACCTTTGATTTTCTTAAAAAGGAATTTAGGATTTTTAAATAATAACATCCCTGATAAGTATGTGCTTATGAGGGAGTTGAACATTAATGTTTCTTTTTATAAATTCCTGTCTCTGAAATGTTAAAATATGATAAGCATTGCCATGAGTTTTCTTGTACTGAGATTACCAACAGATTTAAACACAAAACTTTTTATAGAACAAAGAAATGAACTTTAGAGTATTGAAAATATTAAATGATTACCAAGTTTACTTTTGAAGCCCATTTTTGGCTGTTTATTCAGCATTGAGTGGGCACTATAAGTATTTAATATTTCTTTTTGTGAAATTTCTTGTACAGCCCTTTGTAGGATTACTGCAGATTAATGTGAGTGAGAAAGGCAGTCTTTTTTGAGCAATACTGCATACCTTTGCTTATACCACAATCCTAAGTGTTTTATATCCTGGAGTTGAGGAGCAGACTGCCTAAGGATTATAGTATTACATGGCAGAAGATATGTTTTATTGGTTCCATGTTTGTGCAATCCTAAAGAGATGGCTTTCTATTAAATATATAACTCTGTATATAACTAAGAGTCATATTTTCCACAACTAAAGTATGCATTATTTTTTCCAAAGGTTTATCATTGCTATTTATTTTTACTTTTGTTTCTGAAAGTTCAATACATACTCACTTTGTATGTTTAATTACATGTACATCATATATAATGAATTTTTACTGTATAATACCTCATGAAAGGAGCAAATAAATGGAGATTGTTTTTATTTGCTTGATAATTGGAAGTATTTTTGGTATGAAGCTGGGATTCTGTCACAATTTTAACTGGTCAATTTTAAAATACCTTGTAATAAAAATATACAATGGATAATTCTTCAGATATTTTCCAAGAATTCAGTGTTATCTTCAAAATATTCTATTTGTGAGACCCTGAAGTTGAGCTGCTTTTACTACATTACCACAGGTTACATTTTGAAGACTAAAATTTTGCTTTACAGCTAAGGGAGACAGTGTGTTAGTTCTTTGCTTTGTATAAATGATTTCATCTGGAGAATACTGCCTGACCTGTAGCATCTGTGTAAGTCACAGAAGCTTTGCTACTAAGTTAAAATAGTGGTTCTTTTGAGAACTTGACATTTTCCCCTTCCTCTTGGTCAGCTTCTGTATTCTTGTACAAATGTACTTTATATATGGCTATTATCTGGCTAAATGGGAAAATTAGCCATAGGATTCGTAAGAGAAACTTGTTTGCTAAATTGAGTTTTTAGAACTTATTACATACTTTTCACTCGTTAGAATATAGCAGTGAAAATATGGCTAACAAAAAAATTGGTAGGAAAACATGGACTGTGTATGTGTGCAATTTAAGTAGCTATAAAAAATGACAGCATTTATCTAAGGTTGGGTCTATTTTCAGGTTTTATTGATGTAATTTCAGTTTTTCTGTGTTAATTGTTTCAAGTTCTTTGTCTTGCCAGTGTAAAGAACTTAAGAGTTTACATTGATAATAGCCCTGAGCACTACCAAGCAAATCCATTTCAGAAAATCCATGGCAGGTAGAGTGCTCTTGTCCACTAGCTCATCCTGAGCTTGCGTCCTCCTGCTCAACCTTTGGACATTGGGCTATAGCTCACAGAATGCCATCAATGTCTGGTTATTATGGAAGAAAATTAAATACATTTATAGCTTTGAATATTAGATTTCTCAGTCACAAAGTTAATTTTCCTAGAGTGGTGTGTAGAAAGTAAGTCCAGACCAAAGGAGACAAGGGTCACCACTTAAATACAAGTGGAGCCATTGCGTGGACTTAGGGAGAACCCAAGCAGGAATTACCATTTTGTTGCCTGCTCACCTCATCCATAGCACTGTGAGCGAATGCACCTTTTCAGCTAAGTTGGGCACAATACAGCCTCCAGGGTCAGTGTTTTGCTCTGTAAGAGTGAACAGACGTGGAGAACCACAAAAGGATTTCTTGCAAAATGGGACTCATTGTCATGGCAATAAGATACAGAGTATGTTTCAGTGTGACTTAAAAGAACTTTCATCCCAGCTGGGTGTGATGGCACACACCTATAATCCCAGCACTCGGGAGGCTAAGGCAGGAGACTTGCAAGTTCAAGGCCAGCCTGAACTACTGTTTCAAAAACAACAAATATGTTTCCATTCTTGGCACTTCCTGTATGCAGTGGTGAGCATTTATCTGTCCAGGACTTGACTTGTCTCAACCAAGCCCTACGGTTCCAGTTCATTTGGAATGGGCCTTAAAATTGCCATGGAAACATCCCTAAGACCTGTGCATTCCCACCCATGGGCTTCCGGGTCTGGCCTCCATCCTATCCTATCCCATCCCCTAACCCTTAGTGCGCCCCTATGTCATCCCCTTAGGGTAAACTCTTCACTTTTGTAAAGTCGGGCTCGCTGCTACCCATCTAAAATGCAGTCACTCGATGCCACTTTAAAAGGCAAAAGATTTATTCGATCTGAAAAGAAACTAGAGTATATACCGCTTCACTTTGAAACTTGAACTTTCACATCCGAAAGGACCGCAAGCGCAGAGCCTCCAGGCGCCCTTTTCCTTCCCCCTCCTTCCCACTGCATCTTGATCCCAGGTGTAAGTCGCTCAGAACACTGGAGGATGGAGCCTCTCACTGGCATCTGAAAGGGCAAGACCAGGCTGCATCTTTGAGGGATGACCGCTGTCAACCAGCTGGGGCACCAGTGAACAATTTGGTAATGCAGGTGGATGTCAAAGATGTTTCTCCACTTTTCTCTGTAGGAAGGTTTTAGGAAACGAAAAAATTTTTTTTCGATTTATCTTTTTTTTGGCGGAACCAGGGATTGAACTCAGGCCTTTGTTCTTGGCAAGCAAGCGCTTATTCTACTGAGCTATCTCTTTGGCCCCTGGAAATGAAATTCTGAGTGGTCTGGTTTTGAACTTCACTCACTGTAGGTTCTCCAGCGCCCGATTAGGGTTCAAGCATCTAGCAGATCCTCAGTAAATGACTGCTAAAAGAATGAACCAAAAAGGGAATAAACGGTCGAACTGAAGAGTCAGGGAACCCATCCATTCTTGCACCCGTGCTTGGGTCTGCGGGAATCAAAGCTTAAGGAAGGAAAAGGCTGCCCTGATTCCAGTCTACCTGCCGTGTTGGCCCTGCCTGCGCTCCCAAGAAGCCTCACGAGCCCTGTGTATCCAAAAGACCCGGCGTTTCTCGAGCTCCGCCCACAACGAGGCGTGGCGTCCTCTAAGTCCCGCCCGCGCGGGGGCAGGGTCTGCAGCAGGCGGGAAGCGGCGCGCGGCGGCGGGAGGCGCAGGTTCCGTGGAGCTGCAGTGTCCGTGCAGGTACAGCTTCCCGGACTGGTCACCCTCTCCTTTCGGGACTTGCCGCCGGCCGGACCTTGGAGGGGGCTACTCACCTGGGGCCTGCTACTGGTGCCGGGCTAGCCCTGAAACGGCGCTCGTGCTGGCGTGCGGCCTCGCCTGGCGCCGGCACAGCGAGCTTCCTGCTTTCGGCCCTAGCCAACCTCTAGCGCAGGGGTCCGATCCGGCCCGCGATCCCGCCCTCCGTCTGCGTGAGAACCCCTTCTTCCGGGAGACCCCGCCTGGGTGACCACTTCCTCCAGAAGACCTTCCTTCTAGGAATCCCCCTCCTCCACAACCCTGGCTTTCCAGGAAGCCCCCTCCTCAGTGACCCCCTCCTCCAGGAGCTGGCTCCTCTACTGAACTGGGCGGTGCTTCCCATGGGACCCAGCATCCTGCGTTGCTTTTATCAGGGTGTCTTTTCAGCTTTTCTTGATGCACCAGGTCAGACCTACAGTGGTGCATGCCAGGCAGGGTTCAAGGAAACCTTGTAGGTGGGGCTTGAAGATGTTCGTGTCAGATGGTCACGTTAGCCTCTCTCCCAGCTCAGTGAGCATGGTGAGCATCTTACAGGTTGACAGAGTTCTGCCCACCCCTCACCCTCCAACTCAGGCACTCAATTTGATGCTGTAATATTGCTATCTAATTTAGTACTGGTGTTCTTTTAGTCTTCTGTCTTTACAGAAAGTAGGAAGCCTGAGGGATTTTTTCCTCCCACCCAGAGTTCAGGAGGATGAAAGTCATCACGTGCGAAATAGCCTGGCACAACAAGGAGCCGGTGTACAGCCTAGACTTCCAGTACGCCACAGCAGGGAAAATCCATAGACTTGCGTCTGCTGGGGTGGACACTGCAGTCAGGGTAAGTGGAGCAGAGATGTAAAGACACAGGAAGGCCTTGCTTGGAGCCGTAGGTCTCGCTGTGCTGGCTTTGAACTAGCTATATAGCCCGGGCTGGACTCAAACTCATGGTGGTCCTCCTGCCTCTGCCTCCAAAGTGCTGAGATAAGAGGTGTGCACCACCATGTCCAGGTTCGTTCCTTTATTTAAAACTAATGTCACCAAATTCAAAATGCTTTGTCATCTAGCCTAGAATGTTAAAATCTCAGCCTGTGTGAACATGAAAGCAAAAGAGTTGCTCACTCGCCCTTCCTTCCTTCCTTCCTTCCTTCCTTCCTTCCTTCCTTTCTTCCTTCCTTCTCCTTTCCTTTCCTTTCCTTTCCTTTCCTTTCCTTTCCTTTCCTTTCCTTTCCTTTCCTTTCCTTTGTTTCCTTCTTTCTTTAGTCAGGGTCTCATTATGCAGTGCAGGCTGGCCTTGAACTTACTTTATAGCCCAGGCTGGCCTCAGACTCCCAGCCATCCACTTTCTCGCCTCTGGAGGGCTGGGATTACAGATGTGTGCCAGTGTACCCACCTTTAGTTTACATTTTAGAAAGGCAAATGTTTCACAATGTTTTGTTTCAAAAGAAAAATTGAATCTTCTTACCGAAAACAGGCATGAAGGTATATCAGCACATACAAGATTGTAAGTATTCAGTATGTATTTTTCAATTGCATGTTCTGGTATCAACAGATCTGGAAGGTAGAGAAAGGACCAGATGGAAAAGCCATCGTGGAATTTTTGTCTAATCTTGCTCGTCACACCAAAGCTGTCAATGTCGTGCGTTTTTCTCCAACTGGGGAAATTTTAGCATCAGGAGGAGATGGTGAGTATTACTGTACTTCAGAGGTTCTTTGGAAAACCAGATACCTGTGTGTCTCAAATAATGAGAATTAAGCAGTATATGCTCTTTTTTTTTTTTGTGACAGGGTCTCACTGTGTACTTCAGGCTGGGCTTGAACTCACTATGTAGTCCACAATTCAGGCTAGAATTGAACACATGATGATCCTCCTGCCTTCACTTTGAGAGTGTTGGGATTACAGGTGTGCCACCACCCCCAGCTGAAGCAGAATATGCTTTTTATTTGCCTTGTCACTGCCACATTCCATTTATTTATTTTTTTTCCTGTTTTTATACTACTTTATTTTTTTTTATTTTTCAACAAATAATACACTGCATATATTCTTAGTGGTTAATTGCTGTACAAGATGCGGACTTGTGATCCTATTTACAAACACCATTAGAACAAATCATTCTATTCATTAACAGAATGTAACTATATATCTATCCCAACCACTTTGAATACACAGATACAAAATGGACATTCATCTGTATGCCCCATTTTTTCTAAGTTCCGTTATTGAATATTATAGGTGTGTAAACTCAGCAAAATATTCTAAAAGAGTCCAGTAGCCCATAATAGCATTGGGTCTTCTGTTTAACTGGCAATGTCAGAAATTATTGACCTGAGTCCCCCACAGCTCAACTTAACAGCATGGCTTTATTCCTTATAATTTCGTCTTCATACTTTTCTACTGGATGGTTAAGACCAAGGTAAAGCAGGACCTATGCAACAAGAGTTGTAGCTTTTTGGTCTGAGAAGGTCAGTGAAATGCCCTCAGGATTTGTCCTGAGATCCTGTACCTCAGATTGTAGAACCTTTATCAGTGCAGCCATGTAGATGAGTCACGGCCATTGCTTGGCCAATGTGCTCTCTGTGAAAGCCTGAGAGAGTATCTTCTCCCCATGTGACTCTCCTTAGGCCCACTCTATGTCATCGATCACTTTCCTCTTTGGCCCCATAATCTTCTTGATCAGAATATTTGGGACACTACCGAGGTACATGACGTTACAGTACAAGTTCTCATATGTCCTGAGTCTTAATTGACCTTAGAAGGCTAGGGCCAAAATGTTGGCTTTCCTTGTATCCCTCCTTTTTCTCTAATTTTGGTCTGCAAACTTAGGTTGTTAACCGTCCAGAAGAAAAGATTATTGTTATTATCAAACGATTTGGGCTATCAATCTTAACCTCACTATCTCACTGCATTTCAAACATCTTAGGCATAATAAGGAACAGGTATTTTTCATCAAGTATTGATATGTTGAACTTTAAGTCCCTACAGAATATGATAAAAAAAACATTTAAAAATTAGATTATATTTTAAAAAATAGGATAAAGAATTCTATGCTTCTCATGTTTGCACATAAGTCCAAAAATCTCACCATACACAACCTTGAAGCAGGACAGTCCCACAATATTCCTTTTCCTGTCTCTTGCTTTCCTTCACCACCGCCTTCTTCTTGAACATCCATCTACCCGAGAGACATCTTAGCAGTAAATGGCATGTCATGACAAGCCGCCCATATTCAGACTACCACAATGACAGGCACTCCCATCATGAAACAACTGTTACAAATTACCATCTGCAGTGCAGTAGCTTAGTTCCCAGCACATTCCATTTAGTGCAGTGACATTTTGGGAAGTGTGTTGATGAGAAGGATGTAGGACAGCATGCTTTCCCACGTGTACCCTGAGGCTGGTTGGGGTCACACAGTAAGAGTTCTGGCCTTAAAGTCTGTGGTTACCCTGAGTCTAATTGATTGGCTTTGGAAATGAATGGCCTTGTGATTTGTGCTTGTTTGGTGAGATTAGATTCATTCACATTTTCTGACTGTGCTTACATAGGATAAAACTATACCGAAGTATAAACCTTTACCATGCAGTCTAGAAAGCAGTACAAAGTGGAATCTTGGTGATATTTTGTTTGTAACACGGGAATGGAACCCAAGGGTGCTCTACCACCCCTGCACTCTATCCCTAATACTCAGTTTCCTAGACTTGTCTTAACCTTGGAATATTCCTGTGCCAGTGTCCTGGGGAGCTGGGATTACAGGTGTCCCCACCACATCCAGCTGGGAAACTTAGGCTTTGTTTGCAGGAGGAAAAAAAGGATCAGGTTGAATTCAGTCACACTGGGAAAGATGAGGAGTGGGAGTCCTGGGCGAGGACACAGGCCATCTCCTATGAGGTTGAACAGGGCAGCTGTCACTTTGCAAAGTCTCTAGGTCTTAACAGGAAGAACGTGTCAGGACCACTGCATCTCAGGCACACTCGCAGATGTGATGTGCAGTGTCTTAGTAACTCTTCTTTCATTGCTGGGACAAATACCCAACACTCAAAAGGAAGGAAGGAAAGCTTTATTTAGCTCACAGTCACTGGAGGTTTCAGTCTATACTCAGCTGGCTCCAAGGCAGAGCAGCACACGGCCGAGGGCAACTTTTCATGATGGCGGCAAAGAGCAAGAGCACAAGGGAGGGGTAGCAGCAGCTCAAGCAGCAAGTTTCTCTTCCCACCTTACATTGTAATGCAAATTACCTGCCCCAGGGCAGGTGCAGCATCCACACCCACAGTGCTCAATCACAAACTCCAGAAGCCATTCCAAGACTGCCTGAGGCTTTGGGGGGGACACCTAGACACAAACCATCACATGCAGTCAGGATTGCAGTTCAGAGTGGGGTGTGCATGTCCATTTACCCCACCTGCTCATTTGTGAGCCAGGCATGCTGGGTAGGTCACATGGTAAGTGCCAGTCAAAATGAGGGCAGTTGTCACGCTCAGGTCACACCAGCGTCTCACCGGTGTGTCTGCTGATGCTGGTGACTAACACTGCCATGGGGCATCTGTATGCAGTCCCCCTGTGGATAATTCTTTAGTTCCCATAGTAGCCCTCTGATGTAGGTGTACTCTTAGATCCCCTTGAACTCCCTGCAGAGCCCACGCTGGTCTTGAAGTCAGTGATACTCAGGCCTTAGTGCTGAGTGCTGCAATTACTGGTGTGTGCCACCACATCTGACTGTGGTCACCATTTTCCAGAGGGTGCTGGGGCCTCAGCATGTCCTTGCTGCAGCTTAGGTGGTTCAGAACTTGCCCTCGCTGTAGATTTGAGAACGCAGTTGTGTACTTGCAAGTGGCATTTCCAGGGTCTGGAGCCCCTTCTGTTTCAGGTGATTGAACAGGGAGGACTCTGGCCTGCTGGGGCTTGCTGTTTGTAGAGCCTCGTTCAGAAGGTAGGGCTGCTTTTCCTCCCAGACCCTTGGAAGCTGCCCCTCAAGGCCACTGCATCCTGTTGCAGCATGGCTGTTCAGTGCCCAGCCCTGCAGGCATGCAGAGCTGCGGCAAGGGTGAGGCTGCTCACTGAGGCCGCCTCTCTCCAGATGCCGTCATTCTGCTGTGGAAGGTGAACGACAACAAGGAGCCAGAGCAGGTTGCTTTCCAGGATGAGGATGAGGCTCAGCTGAATAAGGAGAACTGGACTGTTGTGAAAACCCTGAGGTAACGTTGGGGGGAAGCTGCAGGTGATTGATCTTTATAAACTGAGTAGGTTAAACAGAACACTGTATGTCTCTCCCACCTCATTTTTTTTTTTTTTTTGAGACAAGGTCTCACTATGTGACTGGCAGTGATCCTCCTGCTTCAGCCTCCCGAGTGCCAGGATTACAGGATGTGTCACTGCATCTGGCTCAGACTAGGTCTTTTGACCTTTATATTTAATTTAAAACTTTTACCCACCAATAAGAAAGTAAAGGATGAAAATATGCTTGCTTAGTTTCTGCTATAAAAATCATCCTTAGTTTCTGACAGTGAAAGGAAACCTGTTCTGTAATCCCAGCACTCGAGAGGCTGAGGAGGGAGGATCACTGTAAATTTGAGGCCGGCCTGGGCTACATAGTGAGTTCAAGGCCAGCCTCACAAAATAATAACAAATAACAAAATAACAACAAAAAGTGAACCTGTTTAAAGTTATGGGTATCCTTGAAAGGAATTAATAGCTAGAGCCAGTACAGTTCCAGAGGAAATTTCTAGACTTTCATTCTAGTGCATGGTCCTTGATTTTTACTTTTAAGTGCTTAATAACTTTTTCCTGTTTTGAGACATTCATGACTATTTTTCTCTTTGGGCTGTAGGGGTCACTTAGAAGACGTATATGACATTAGCTGGACAACTGATGGGAATTTAATGGCTTCTGCTTCTGTGGACAACACAGCCATCATATGGGATGTTAGTAAAGGTAAGTAGTGAGGTTTTGATCCACCCGAGGGGAGGAATATTATAAATGTCTTCTAAAAGACTGAACCATCTTTAGTTTTAGAAAAAATCAGAGGGCAGGTGTTGTGGTGAACACTATAATCTCAGCATTCAAAGACTGAGACGGGGGATTCCAAGTTTGAGCCTAGCCTGGGCAACTTAGTAAGACGCTGTTTCAGAAGTATAAAAGGGCTGAGGATATAGCTCTGTTTGAAGTCTCTGGGTTCAATCTCTACTACCACATGCACATAGTAACATGAAGAATTTCTTCAGTGAACTAAAATAGTGTCTGATCACCAGGAGAGAGGTTTGTCCCATAGGTCATGGGTCGAGTTTCATTTTGGTGGCCTTAGAACTGTGGCATCAGGAGTCACTGGTGTCTACAAGAGGCAGATCTCCCATGCTTGGTGTGAGGACAGCACAAAGCGGGCCTGGTCCCTGTATGGAGTTTAGGGCTGCAGGTGGCCTTGCAGCTGATGATAATGAAAGCAGTGTCATGCACGTCCATGCAGTCAGTGAGATCCAGCAACCACTTCAGGAGAGAAGCAAAGCAGGCAGTGTCCACACCTCTGATGAGCCTGCTGCGTGGGCAATTGTTGCAGTAGACGCCACAGCCAGTATTCCCGAGTCCCCACGTCTAGCCCTTTTCCAGGTTTGCCTCTGTCCCTACCCAAGCAGCCAGCAGGGTGACAGGAGGCAGAATGATGCTTTCCAGCTTTCTGGCTCACAGTCCCTCCTTCTGGGTTCTGTGCCACCCAGCTGCATCACCCTTCTAACTGTGCTCCACACAGGCAGAAAGAAGAGCCCAGAGGCCGACAGGCGACAGGCCAGGGCAGCAGGTGGCAGAGGGTCAGCAAGTGGGAAGGGCCGAGGGCTCTCGTAGTGGGAGGAGTTTCTGCGCATGGCAAAGGCCTTGGGACAGTGGGTTAAGTCCCCTTGTCCTTTCCTGAGTGAAGGTGCCCATCACACAGCCCTGCAGTGTGGGCAGTGGTCAGTAGCTCAGCGTTCTCCTCTGTTATCTGGAGAGACATGGGGAGCCTCGCTGCCACCTTCAGCAGGTAGCAGAACATGCATTTGGTGTGATGACAGGGTTTTGGGCAGGTAGTTGCAGCTTGGTAGATGCGTTTTGCTCCCGTCAGCCTGGTTTGTCAGCTTGGTGGGGATCTTTGGGCCAAACACCAAGTTGACCCAGTTGAGACTGACGATAGCTGGAGACTCAGGGAACTACCAGGCCACTGTGAGCATTGACAGACAAAACCCATTCTTGTCAAGTGCTTGGTGCCACTGCACAGTGGCTGAGGGTCGTAGCAGGGAATCCCAGGTTAAGGGTGTCATTGAACAGTACTTCAGATACAAGAAAGGAGCACAGAAGATAGTGTTCTTGCCTTGCACACACAAGTTCCTGAGTTCAAGCCCCAGCACCACCAAAAGTAACCAAAAACAAAAAGAAAAGCCTAAGTCCTGATCTTAAGTACATATGTGAAATCAAGATTCTGTACACAACTTGTGTCCAGATGTAAATCACTAAAAAGGCGGCAAAGGCTTCATAATATCCTTTTCTTCTGCAAGTAATCTCTGTGTACTGCTGGCATTTTCTCCTGAATACCTTTCCCAACAGCTCTTTGCCTCCCTTATTTTTAGTTTTTTGAGACAGAGTCTTTGTGTATGCTAGGCTGGCCTTGAACTCTCAACTGCTGGGATTAAGGCGTGAGCCATCATGCCCAGCTCTTTGCCACCCCTGTTACTGTTGCTCCTGTCGAGACCTTTGGTTGACTCTAGACTGGTCTGTCACCTCTGAACCAGTGATGCTTTTTGTCATCTTCTCCCAGGCTCAGGTGTGTCTTTAGAATGCAGGCCCCAACCTAGCTAGGTCTCCCCGTGGCCTGCACCCTGAGCTCCCCCATTACACATGGGATCTCTGCTATGACTCCTTTCCCCTGACTGCAATGTTCTGGGCCTCTGCCAGCCTGTCGTTAGCAGTCTCGGCTGCCATGCTGAGCCTCGTATGCCAGTTCAACTGTCGTGCAGCATCCTGCATTTCCTGTCCCCAGCCCCTTCCCTGGGGACGCTGGAAAACGAAGTCGGCTCCTCTGTGCTGCTCATGTCTTTTTTTCCTCCTTGCCTTCCTTGGGCCTGTGATGTGTAGTCCTCTCTTAGGGACAGCTGTGCCCCTCCCCTGTTGCCTCCTAGGGTGGGGCTGGGTGGAGCCATCTTTTGGGCTCAGTGTGTGGAACAGCGCTGAGCCTCTGTTGTGCCTCATGGTGGGATGGGATGGAGGGAATCATTTTTAAATCAGTTACACATTTACGCCTGAGTAAGATTTGCTAATGCTGTTGTGGTGGGGCTTTTTTGTTGTTCTTTTTCATAGGTCAAAAGATTTCAATTTTTAATGAACATAAAAGCTATGTACAGGGTGTAACCTGGGACCCTTTGGGTCAATATGTGGCCACGCTGAGCTGTGACAGGTATGTGAGTATTCGGCAAGCTGTCCAGGATGTGGGTCAGGGTGAAGGCCACCTGCTACCTGCCCCCAATGGTTTTTGCTTTCTGAAAGGAAGTGTCTTTGCTCCATTTGTGGGTATAAATGCATTTTTGAATGAATAGTTTTAAAAATTGGGGGTTCTAACTATATTATTTAACAAAATATCCCTTTTGCCTATTTATTAACTACTTTTCCTTTTAAAAATTGAGTTTAATATAAACCTGGGATAAAAGCAATATATGTTAGTGTTTATTTTCATAGAAATTCTGAGTGCTCTTTATTTTCTGATTTGCTGGTAGAAATCCTGGGACTTAGCCAGAGTTGCCTGCAGTGTTTCTCTTGGTCTCAGAAGTCTTGTTTCTGAGTGAGACTGTTCAGCACAGAACAAACCTCAGTTACATTGACTGCCTCTGGGCTGAATGTCCAGGAGCTAAAAAATAAGATGAGGCCTAAGCTATGGCTTACTTGTGAAAATGAAATATTGAATGACACATAAATAAAATTAAAATTGTAGGGGGCCGGGGAGATGGCTCAGTGGAATAAGCGCTTCCCTGGCAAGCGCAAGGGCCTGAGTTCAATCCCTGGTTCCACAAAAAGACCCCAAAAAACTAAAATTGTGACCGAGTGTCCCCATAGTGGTTGTGCAGGCTCAACACTGTAAGCGGTAGTGGTTGTGAAATATAATTCATTCACTAGAAGACAAAAATTGCACTTCTGCTCTTTCTTCAGAGTGCTGCGCGTGTACAGCACACAGAAGAAACGCGTGGCTTTTAATGTTTCCAAAATGCTGTCTGGCGTTGGTGCAGAGGGAGAGGTATGAGCTGCGCGCACTTCCCCTTCATCGGGACCCAGGGGAGGCATGAGCTCCTCACAGCTGAGACTGGTCTCAGGGAACAGACGTCACGCTAATAGAAGGCTTGGTGTGGGGCTGGTCTCTATGGAGACGGGGTCCCTGGGGGTGGGGCAGGTGTCACGGTTTCCATTGGGGAAGTGGTTGGTAGTGAGGAAAGGGACAGGTCTGAAGGAGCAGGCTAACGACCCAGCCCTAGAGCACTCGAGACTGAGGTGTACACAAATGGGCAACATGAATGTTCAAAATGTTTGAGAAGGTGAAGACCAGTTAAATCATCCCATTCTCTTTTTTGAAAATGTTCATTTTCTTGGAAATACTAAATGTGTACTTGCCAAGTAACAAGCAAAGGTTTCCATGTCATGTTCCTGCCAGTTCTTTCCAAATAAGCCACGGTGTGTGTGTCCTTACACTTTTAAAATGATATATAGCCACAGAAACACACAACTCACACTCCCAGCCCTGCACACGGACTCCCTGAACGCAATGGGTGCTTGGCCCTTGAGCATGCTTGCTCCTGCTGTCTTACATCATTATTTGGTTTGCAGTAGGTTTCAATTTCATTTACTTAGTCCCAACCAGTTAGCCCTCACCATGGGTGTAAAGATCTGGACTGATGGGCCAGGGAAATGGCTCAGTGGAATAAGCGCTTCCCTGGCAAGCGCAAGGGCCTGCGTTCGTTCAATCCCCGGTTCCGCCAAAAAAAAAAAAAAGATCTGGACTGATGTTTCCACCTCCTGTGCTACAGGCCAGAAGCTACCGGATGTTCCACGATGACAGCATGAAGTCCTTCTTTCGAAGGCTCAGCTTCACGCCCGATGGGTCCCTTCTTCTCACCCCAGGTTGGCAGCTCTGAGTCCCAAGTGGGCGGCTCAGCAGGTGCCATGTGGCCTTGCAGCTCGGCCCAGTGTGCCCATGACAGCCCCAGGGAAGCTTGGAAAAGCCGCTGCCACTGTGTCTGCTCCCCGGAAATGGTGGTTTCTCTGGCCTGGGGTGGGTGGGCCTGGCTCTTGGAACTTTAAAAATAACTCAAAGTGATTCTCTTCTTCAGCCGAGTTGGGGACTTGCAAGACTAGCGTGTGGGACAGTTCTATCTTAAGAGAAATTTTTCAGTAATTGTGTGTGCAGATGTCAGTTCTAAAGACAAAGAGAGAACCACCCTTGTTTTCCACTTTTCCCTTCTGAAACAGCCTGTGACACAGCAGGGTTGGACGGTTGAGTTGTGGCTAGTCTTGCATGGGTGGAGGAGGGGCTAGGATGGGAGAATTCATGGCCTCCAGCAAGGTCTGCTGAGGCAGCACATGGGCTTGGGCTGGGGAACTCTCCAAGAGAAAGTAATTGCTTACATTATTAACTAGAATTATTTACTAAAAGATTTTTTATCAGAAATGATATACTAAACCCAATGACAGGTGTGTGGTAACACCCAGCTGTTTTCCCAGGACTTAAGAGGTTGAGACAGGAGGATCACCTTGAATTTAAGGCTATCCTGAGCTACATAGTTCAAAGTCAGCCTGAACTACAGTGAGAACCCATCTCAAAAAAGCAAAAAGCCCCCTAAAAAACCCAAAGCAAAAAAGGAACGATAGCAAAAAGCTCCTAATCCTAAGATATGAAATGGTCACATCCGAAAGTATGCACATACCTGTCAAGAGATAGGAACATGGAACAGGAGGCTGTGTGGCAGTCTTGTGGCTCGGGTCCAGCTGGGGACTGAGGAGGTGCTGTCACATGAGATGTTCCTGGACATGGACAGGGTCTGCAGGAGGCCAGAGATGGCAGCCGAGGCTAGCTCTGGGAGATGGGAAAGGTCCAGAGTCACTCAGCCTTCAGTGGCACTCAAGGTCAGAGCCTGGGTGCCAGTGGCGTCTTGGGCTTCTCCTGAAGAGTGGATTCTTGGATGAGGTGCCTGGCAGCAAGCCTCTACTTTGTGTTCTTCCTGCCTGGGTCCCCAGGGCTGTGAGCCCCCAGGTAGAGAAGCTGGGAAGTGGAACTCGAGTAAGGAGGGAGACCAAGCAGTGACAGACACTTGGATTTGTCACAAAATACTATCCAGCAAAGTGACACAGAGTTAGGGAAAGGATGTCTCCCTAACCAGACTGGGAGGCTCTTGTGCTTTCTAGGGGACAGTGAGCACTAACCCTGACTTCCCTTTCCTGCTTCTACCCCCAGCTGGATGCGTAGAATCTGGGGAAAATGTCACCAACACCACCTACGTTTTCTCCAGGAAGAACCTGAAAAGGTGAGCCAGAGAGCAAGGAACTGAACCAGTACCCTTTGGCTTCACTGAGTGGCTGTGCCTGTTTCTAAACTCAGGTTACTCTCCTAGGCCGGTTGCCCACCTTCCGTGTCCCGGGAAGGCGACACTCGCCGTGCGCTGCTGTCCAGTCTACTTTGAGCTGAGGCCGGTGGCAGAACCAGGTACTGGGACCCTCGGCAGGGCGTGCATGTCCCTCCAAGACCCTTCCTGGCTTGGAGGAGTGGAGTGTGTGGGTTTGGTTCAGTTTATTTTTTCTTTTTATCAACACGTAATGGCACATAATTGTGGGGTGCTTGAGTCATGTATACATCACGTACGATTCTTAGGACCTGTGGACCAACCTGTCCCTGTCCTCTCTATCTCCCTGGCCTCTGGTCAACACCATTCCACTCTCACTTCTGTATCATTGGCTCTATTTTTATTTGTGTGTTTGTTGGTTTTGAGACAGGGTCTCACTAGGTAGTTCAGGCTGGCCTTGAACTTACTCTGCAGCCCAGGTTGGCCTTGAACTTGGGGTGATCCTTCTGCCTCAGCCTCTAACTCTGAGTGCTAGATTAAGGTTCTCTGCATTGGCTCCTAGATTTCCTAGTGGTCAGATATCATTCATGATCAGTTTTCTACATGGTAAAATTATGTATGAATTGGATTTTTTTAAAACTTTTTTTCCCCCCTCAGGCTGGCTTTAAAGCTTTTTCTTTTTTTGTGTGTGTGTTTTAGGGAAGGGTCCGCAGGGTGTTCAGGGTCTCACTGCTAGATCGGACTCATAGTGATCTGCCTGTTTACAGCCTCCCAAAAGCTGGGATTACAGGTGGGTGCCACCACGCCGTCTCAATTGCCATCGGGGCGGCATGGCAGGCCCAGGGACCAAACACCCACCACCACCACCTGCTTGCAGGCACGTTAGTTGGCTGGCCCAAAGCTTTTTCTTTTTATCCGTGCTTTTAAGCAAGAGGACCTGGGGCCCGCCCCTTAGCTCAGTTCTTTAAGTGGCTGCTTCAACAAAGCAGTCAGGCTTAGATTGCTGTGGCTCAATCCCTGTAACTGGAGCCAGCCAAACCTGCCCTGAAGGCGTTCGGAGCAAAAAAAAAAAAAGAGGATTATCTCTTCCTTTTGAGTAGTTTTCTTCTTTGAGTTTATGGTTTTCATCAGATTTGGGACATTTTGGCCTTTAAGTGCTTTGTCTTCCATTTCTTTTTCAGATACAGTTAATGCCCAGCCACATACCTGTATGGCCCAGTGAAGCTACTCCTGCCTTATTGATACTTTGTTCATTTTTCAGTTTTACTTTTTTTTTTTACTTTTGAAGTTTCTAAGCCGTGTTCTGTCTACTAATCTTTCCTATTGTTTTCATTCTGGATGTTGCAGTTTTTCCAGTTAACTTGTTTCCTTCCTTTTGTTTTTTAAACATACAAAATACAGTTACATTCCAGGACATCCCCCCCATAAGTGAAAATTGGCCAAATAGTGATGTTCATTTTAGTATTTGTATACATTTTAAGGCTTTATAAACCCTTTCCACACTTCTTACAAACCTTTCCTACTCTTTTAAAAACACTTCTGAGGTCTGGGGAGATAGCTCAGAGGTGTAAGCACAAGATCCCGAGTTGGATCCCTGGCCCAAGATGCATAGTGAGACCCTGGTTTTTTTTGTTTTTTTTTTTAAACTTCTAAGGTTCTTAACCATTTTAGGGCAGTTCTGGTTTGGCGTGAGTATCTGGGTTCGAACCACAGCACCTGAGCCTGGCTGCTTTGTTTAAGCAGGCACTTATACAACTGAGCTAATGGGCAGGCCCCCTCTTAACCACTTTCTAAACTCATAAGTCTAGGTAATTTTAACACATATATACTATAAATATCGTATGTATTCATCTGCTAAAGAAATATTGTAAACATGTATTTTATTTCAATTTAATATTGTAATCTGTTACAGTTAATATTTTTAATATATATTTTTAAAAAATTTTAGGCAAAAATCATTAAAACCATAAATACTGTGTCTAAGTACGTATATAGTACTGTACTCCTCCACCTACAAAATCCAGCAATGTAGCAAAAAATCCACTATAAATAATTTAGATTAATATATATGTGTATTTTTTTATTTTAGAGAAGAGTCTACAGGGTGTTCACGGTCTCACTACTAGATCATACCCCTGTTTACAGTCTCCCAAGAGCTGAGATTACAGGTGCACACCATCATGCCCAGTCTCAGTTGCCATTTCAGCACGCCCCGGGGGCAGGCCAGCATGACAGACTCTGGGGATTGAACCTCCAGCCCCTGTTCCTGCTTACAGGCACTTTAATCCACTGAGCTATTTGGCCAGCCCATAGATTAATATTTTTTGAAAACCTGTGAAATAGTCCGCGAAAGTAGAACTGTGCAATAGGGACTACTGTACAATAACTCATCATGTTTTTGTGTATAGGAGCTTGACTTTAGTTGGTTTATTCTTCCTCATTGTGGGTAGTATTTCTTGTTTCTGTGCCTCCTTGGTCATGAGTGGACATGGCTTTTTATTCTTATGAGTATTAATGGTTTTTTTTTTAGGATGCAGGTAAGTTACTTAGAAACATTGATTCTCTGGGGCCTCGCTTTTAAGTCTTGCAGTATGGGATCACAGCAGCGTTGGGTGAGGGCTGGTTTTCTCCACTTCGTAGGCAGAGCCTTCCACAAGCTCTCCCCACTGCCCCATGCAACAGGAGCTGTGGGGATTGTCCTTTCAGCCTCAGGCACTGCCCACAGATGCCTTGGTCTGTGCTCGCTCAGCTGGTGACGTGGACAGAAGCTGAGGCTCCCTGGAGTACCCGCTTTGCATCTCAGCCATGTTGGCCTGCCCAACCCCCAGCTCCATCTTTTCAACTGGGTGTCCAAGGCAGGAGCATCATGGTGGAAGGGCATGGTGCAGTGGAGCAGGGCTAGCGCGAGAGGAAAGAGTCGAGTGCCCGGACCCTGCCTGCACAACCCACCCTGACTCACCCAGTGTGTGCCTTACTAGTCCTCTTGATGGCTGTCAGCTCAGTGTAGTTGACAGGCCAGAGTAGCTGTCACAAGGTAAATTCAGTCTGTTTCTCCATAGTTGGAGGCAAAAGCTGTCTTTAGCATATTCATCCTTAATATGAATAAATATGATTAATTAAAAAGCAGTAAAATGTCACTTGATAGAATGTTTCTGTTTTTCCTTATCATAGAGTGACCTGCGAGATTAATTTCTGTTTCTTTTGACTTATTTTTGTTTTTGTTTTTGAAATTGGGCCTCTCTAGCCCAGGCTGTGCTTGAACTGAAGGTGACTCTGTTTTAACCTCTTGGGTATTGAAATTATAGGCGTGCACCATCACACCCAGCTCTTCTCTTGTTTTGCCTTTTATTCCCCTTTGGCCCTCACTGCCAATGATTTTTATTTCCACTCACTGTCCTCACTGGTCCCCATGTGGTTCTTTAATTAATACATTGAACATAAGAATTGAACATAAGAATCATATTCGGGGCTGGTGAGATGGCTCAGTGGTCTAAAGCACCTACTTAGAACAAGCTAAGCTAAGCAAAGCACAGGGACCAGGGTTCAATCCCCCAGTACCACATGCCAGCCAGCCCCCGCCCCCTGGTGGGCTGAGCTGGCCACACACACACAAATAAGTAAATAAACAAAAAATTTTAAAAAAAAGAATCATATTCTTCGTAAAGCATACAACAAACTAACTTTGGGTAAAACGATGTCCCTTACATCACCCTGGGAGAGGGCTTTTGGGAAGCTCATTTCCCTTAGACATTGTCACTGCCACATTCCTTTGCTGTCTCCCCTACAGACAGAGTCACTCAGGAGCCAGCCAGAGAGCTGGTGCGCTTGCCCTATCGCCTGGTGTTTGCAGTGGCCTCCGAGGACTCCGTGCTGCTGTATGACACCCAGCAGCCATTCCCCTTTGGCTACGTGTCCAACATCCACTACCACACACTCAGTGACATTTCCTGGTGAGTGGCCTTGGGGACAGTGGCATTGCCTGGCAGAGCTGGGCATGGGCCTTTCCTGACTAATGATGGCTTTGGCCCCCTCGCTCGCTGTGCAAGGCGTCCACTGTGAAAGGGAGGCCGTGTCCAGTTTGCTGTGATGCTGCTTTTGATGCCCTTTACATTGCTCTGTGGGATGAGAGGAAATAATTGAACATGGGTGAATGGAACAGAGGCCCAGGGACTGCTCCTCATTTAGGGGTGCGCCAGGTCCTCTGGAGGAAGCCCTTGCCTGCCTGGCCTGTCCCAGAGTTGTACCCGGCGCCCTGCCCTTTTACTACCTTCTGGTCCCAACAGGACCTCTGTGTCTGGCATGGCCCGAGCTCGGGTCCCTTGCCCTCTGCCTCTGGCCATTCACACCTCTTTCCTTTCTTAGAATTTTCTCTTTACGTTGGGACGCAATCACCCCACCTTGCCTTGGGTGCACACTGATGGGTAGTGGCTGGTGCCTTGGGATGCTGAGGCAGGGCTGGGCTGGGCCAGCTCAGTGAGAGTCCCCTCTAGCGTGCGTCTGCTGGCTTTTGCCCTCACCTTCCAGAAAGCTTCTGATCTCCCTGAGCTCCCATTTTTTCCCACAGGTCTCAAGGGTGTTGTAGGCTGCAGACTTTGGGAAAGGCTCTAACTTTAAAAAAAAAAAAAAAAAAGTTTTATTTTAAAGACAAAAATAAATGAAAACTATACAGATTTTCAAAACAAGGTGATAGGAAATGAAGAGTGGCTGTTCTATTGCATACTGTCATCTTCAAAGCAGTTGCTCAGATCACCAGATACAGGGTTTTAAGATTGATCAAGGAATATAAACACTAGCTGTGCCTTTTAGTGAACTAAGAGAAAACAGTACAACTATCTTAGCTATCTGTGTGTACGTATCCCTTTTCGCCTTTTCCCTCATCCCAGTTGTATTTTCCTTTTGAGCAGTTTCTTTCCTTACATAGTATCTATTGTACCTTGTTCTTCTGTTTTTGTTTTTATTATTCTTTCAGTTTCTTACCCTAGGGAGACAGTACAATGTTTATACATGCAGGTCTAATTTATTTCACTCTGAGTGTGGTACCTAATTGCATCCATTTACCAATAAAAGCCTCAAGTTTTTCTTTATAGCTGAGTAATACTCCATTGGATAAAAATACCTTATCTTTTTTATCCATTCCTTGGTGGATGGGCTTTTGGGTTTCTAAGATTTAGCTTTTACAAATTGTGCTGCTATGAATATGGGTGCACATATGTCACTGTGGTAAGATGTTTTTAATTCTTCTTGGAAGATACCCAGAAAGGGAATAGGTGGGTTTAATGGAACCTGTAATCCCAGTTTTTTGAAAAATCTCAATATTGATTTCCACAGTAGTTACATCAGTCTACATTCCCACCAACAGTGGACAAGGGTTCCTTTTTTCCCACACCCCCTCTAGCATTTGTTATCAGTTGATTGCTTGATGATAGCCATTCTTTCTGGGGTGAGACAGAATCTCAAGTGCTTTAATTTGCATGTCTTGGATGACTAATGATGTTGAACATTTTTCATATTTTTATTTGCTATTTGTATTTCTTCATCTAAGAAGTGTATATTCATCTCAGATGTGCTTTTTGGGATTGGGTCTTTGAATTTTGGGGGTCTTAAAATTTTTTACATTCTTTATATGTTCTAGATAGAAGTCCTTTGTCTGAGGACAGTTGGCTAAAATTTTTTCTCAATTTATGGGTTTTCTTTTCACTCTATTGGTTTTTTCTTTCTTTCTTTCTTTCTTTTTTCTCCTTTTTTCATTTTTTGTCTTTTTGAGACAAAGTCTCACTATGCTTTTCAGGCTGGCCTTGAACTCTAGTGCAGGCTGGTCTCGAATTCACAGTGATCCTCTTGTCAGCCTCGCTAGTGCTGGGATTACAGGTGTGTACTACCACACCCCACTGGTGATTTATTTTGATGTGCAAAACTGTTTAATAAGATGAGATTCTAGTTGTTGAGTCTTTGAAATATTTCCCATGCTGTTTAGTTTTTGTTCATGAACTGTCTGCCTTACCCCTATGTCTTCAAGATTTCTATCTACTTTCTCCTCCAGTAGATCTAGTGTTTTCTGTTTTAATATTTAGATCTTGATCCATTTTGGCTTTAGTGCTTGGTGATAGATGTGGGTCTAATTTTAATCTTTGCATGTTAGTGCTGGAAAGGCTCTAATTTTTTCTCCTCCTTTGGGACCCAAGGTCCAGTGATGGGGCCTTCCTGGCCATCTCGTCTACAGATGGGTATTGTTCCTTTGTGACATTTGAGAAAGATGAACTTGGCGTCCCTTTGAAAGAGAAGCCGGTGTTGCACATGAGGACTCTGGACACAGTGAAGAAGGCTAAGAGTCACACTCACCAGGGCTCTTCGCCAGGGCCTAGGCCTGCAGAGGGGACCCCCACCTCCAAAGTGCAGGAGCCAAGCAGCCCCTCTGCGACCCCCTCACTGGCAGGACAGGCCTTGGCCACAGCACCAGCCCCAGTGGCCATCAGGGATGTACCTGCAGTGACGCCTGGTACCAAGGGCTCCTCCCCAGGGCCTTCTGAGGACGCAACACTGCAGAATACAAAAGGCCACCCATCCCGGAGGGTCACACTGAACACCCTGCAGACCTGGAGCAAGACCACGCCCCGGTAAGGACCTTGGCAGGTGGGACATGGCCATGATTGAGGGAACAGCCAGGCCCCTACAGGTGCGAGGCACATAGCCAGTGCCTGCTGTCAGATCAAGGCTGTCATTGTTCTGCCATGGCCTGTGCTGGATTCCCCAGCCTTGGCCTTCCGGATGGACCGAGAGGGGTGCGTGTGTGTGCATGCGTGTGTGTGTGACACAGACAAAAGAAAAACGCGCCCCTCTCACACTGCCTGTCCGTGTGCATATGACCTTCGGCAGACTCACACCTACTTTGGGATAGTCCTGGGCTCTTTCTAATCCTCCAGTTTCTGCATCCTGGCAGATACTGCCTTGTGGCTTTCTGTTTGCTTGGTTATTTGTTTCCGGGAGGCAAGGTGTCCATAGTCCAGGCTGGCCTCTAACTCATAGTGATCCTCCTGTCTCAGCCTCCCATGAGTGCTGGAATTACAGGTGTGTGCCACCACACCTAGCCTTCTCTATATTTTAGGTAGGGGAATATATTCTTTAATTTTAAATTTTTTTTTTTTAATTTTATTTATTTATTTGTGTGTTTGTGTGTGTGTGTGGCCAGCTCAGCCCACCAGGGGGCGGGCTGGCTGGCATGTGGTGCTGGGGGATCGAACTGTGGTCCCTGGGTTTTGCTAAAGCTTGTTCTAAGTAGGTGCTTTAGACCACTGAGCCATCTCACCAGCCCCTTAAATTTTTTTTGACACAGTGTTTTGCTATGTAGTTCAGTCGGTCTTGAACTCACAGCAGTCCTCCTGCCGTAGCCTCCTGAGTGCTGAGATTACAGGCGTGCGCCCTGCCTGGGGATGATTGGTTTTGATTTCAGTTGGCTGTGTGTGCTTGCATAGAGGTAGTGCGCGAACGTAGCCCTTATGCTGGGTTTATCTGAAACATGTATTTCCTTGGGGGTTTTGAAACTTAGTATCATACAGAAAAATTCCTGGCCCACTAGGAATTATCTACCTAAGGAGTCTAACACTAAGGAGTTTACTTTTTTTTAATCAAGGAGAATAAACTTAATATCCTTGAAAACAGAGAGTCCGCCAAATTCCATCCCAGCCAGCATAGTTCCTACATCTTCTACTGAAGAAAGTCCATCAGGTAAGTGAAAATGTTGCCAGCTTGATCTTATTGTTTTGTTACTATTTGTTTTGGTTTGTTTGCTTTGAGGCGGTGTTGGTGTGTAGCCCAGGCTGGCCTTGGCCCCACAGTGATCCTCCTGCCTCAGCCCTCAAGTGCTGGTGTCACAGGTGTGTGCCATCACACCTGGCTCAGATGTTAGCTCATAACATGCACAGTTCCTCCGTTATTTGCCAACCTCCTGTTTGTTGATATTTCAGAGATCCCTGGAGACCCCCAGGACAGCCCCCTAGAGCTAAAACGGCCCAGGCTGGATGAAAACCAAGGAGGCCTCACAAACCTGGACTCTTGACAGGACCTAGGCCTCTACTTGGAGCTGCCAGGCCTGGGCGCCGCGCCTGTGTGTGCACTGAGGGGTGCCAGGGCCAGGTGGCACCAGCCTGGCAGACCAAGGCTGGGGACCTGCTCCCGTGACTCGCTTCCTGCAGGAGTGTGAGCTCCTGGACTAGTGCCCACAGGTGCCGTGCAGACGAGTGCGCCCTGGACGAGCATCTGAGACCGGAGCTGCGCTCGGCCTGGGCTCCGCAGGGCAGCACGGCCCGGATGGTGGTTCCCACCTCGGAGTCAGCGAGAGGACTTGCCGTTCAGGGCCATTGCTGTGAATCATGGAGTGTCCAAGTGATGACTAGATTGAACTCTAATTAGTGATTAAACCTCACAGAACTTCATTTTGTATGTTTGCTTTCTGATTTTGAAGGTAATAATGCTCATCCTGGAAAGCTGGTAGAGTGAAGTAGGAAGAAAGGAATCTGCAGGTGGGACTCGATCTCACCACTGGTTGTATAGCACATGTGCTTTTTTGCACTTTTATTTCTTATTACTATTATTATTTTAGGTATCTTGAAAATAGGTTTGTTTTTTAGTTTTGCCTATTTATTTATTTATTTATTTATTTATTTTTGAGACAAGGTCTCACTATATAGTTTAGGCTGGCCCTGAGCTCACTATATCACCCAACGCTGGCCTCAAACTGGAGGCAGCACTCCTGCCTCAGCTTCCCAAGTGCTGTGATTCAGGCATGCACCACCACACCCAGCAGCCTTTATTTTTTTTAAATTTTTTGTGGCCTGCTCAGCCCACCCTGGGGGTGTGGTTCTAGGGATCCAACTGCACTCCCTGAGTGCTTGCCTAAGCTTGCCTAAGCAGGTGCTTAGACCTCTGAGCTATCTCACTGTCCCAACCCAGCAGCCTTTTAGATTGGCTTTTCAGAGCAAAACCAAAGAAAACCCTATGGAACAAAAGCTCAGTGATTAGTGTTTCTGTCTGCTTCCTTGGAGCCCCAGGGAGAGCCTGTCAGTGTCAGAGTCGAAGGCTGGCAGTGTGAGGAGACACCATGATGTGGGTCTTCCCAGCTCAGGAGAGGCAGGGAGGGCGGTGGGGTTGAGAGGTGGTTATTCTGTAGTGGCAGCTGGGTTGAACCTGTTTCCAAGCCCATGTCACATGCTGCCTAGCACTGTGACACACACGCCAAGTCTAGTAAATGAGGACAGGAACCCGAGGGGCTCCTTTCTGCCTCTCCATGCGTGTGTGGTCCACTGGGCTGATCTTGAACAGCAAGCAGTCCCCAAGTGTCGCTGCAGGCAGGGATAGGGTGTTCTTGGGGAGAGGTCCACATGCTAGGGTCTCTAGGAGCTGACATGAGGCCAGCACCTGCAGAAGGGAGCTCCAGACCTTGATGGTATGTACTGTGTGTGTCACGGAAAACCCCCGAGGGACTGTGGTGCTCAGCTAAGACAGGTGAAGGTCGATACTTGGCCACGTGTCTCCACCGGAAGCCTTCCCCTGGTGACCTGTGGCCCATTGCTGACAGAAGGGACAGCACATGGCCCCAATCTGCATCTTCCCAGTTTAGCTGCCAAGGCCCCAGGGCGGCATGTGGGTATACCTGGGCCCGAGATGTGCATTTGCCCACCAGCCTTCTGTTGGGCAGCATTGGTGGTAAAGGTGAGCAACTCCCCCCTGCTGGTGTGGAGAGAAGCCGCTGGCTCCTGGCTGCATCGTTAGTTGGTTGTGGGAGCCTGGCCTGAGCTGGCGAGTGTCCCCTGTGTGTAGCCCACTGCCCTCTGGGTATTGGATGGGCTCTGTTTCTTGGTGACTGCTGTAATGCCACTGTCTGAACCGAGTGGTGGAGAAGGGACTGGGGCCTGGGCAGACTGCTGGGTACAGCAGGTGACACAGGGGGAGGGGTGACCCAAAGCTGAGTAACCTTGGCGTGACATGGACACTGAGTGTGTGGTGCTGGAGAAGTCCAAGCAGGGGCTAGGGGCTTGGGGAGGAAGTGGCCTGATCCTGTCCCAGCCTGGTGCCTTCTCAGACACAGAGATGCAGAGAGGGACAGTCCTTGGATGTATGACTTCATGGCTCCACAGTCTGCCCACAGGAAGGAGTCTACAGCTCCAAACATTTGGGTTTTGCCAGTTGTGGTGGGACAGGGGCAGAGGAAGGGCCTGGCCATCTATCCCTCCAGAAAAGACCTGAGTTAAAACGCAGAAGGTCCAACGCACTTCCCTCCTACACTCCACATGGGTTCATGTGCGGCTCCCAGTGGCCACTGGAGGTCACTGTCTCCATGGAAACTGCCCCGAGCAGTCCTCCAGGGCTGCCAGAAGGCTTTGTCAGCTGGGGAAGAGGCATGGCTGGAGGGGCCTGTGATAGCAGCCCCTGCCCTGTTGGCTACACCCAGCGCAGCCTCTTCAGCAGTGGGGAGAGCACAAATGTGCTCATTTGTTCTCTTAGCTACTATTTAGGTCCCGAAGGACACACTGGGCTCTGGGAGACCAGGGACAATACAGGGTAAAGTGTATGAAGCTGACTTGGTGGGTCTGAGTGGGGCAACTTGGGACAGGGAGCCTTGGCTGGAGTGTGGCAGGGCTGGGCAGGAGGAAAAGGAGGTGATGTCTTGGGTCCTCTTGGTGCTGGGGCTCCCTGGGTGCTGGTGACAGGACAGCCTGTACTTGCACCACAGGGTTGCAAAACCCTGTGGTGACCTCTGCCTGCCCCGCAGTCTGCGATGTGGTGTGGGCACCCAGGGCCGGACACTGGAGAACGGATGACTGCACCTGGTGGACACCAACTTGAGCTCTGGTCTTTTGCTTTTGGCTTTTGGGACGAGAGTCTTGCTGCACAGCCCCAGCTCAGCTGGAACTTGCAGTTCTCCTGTCTCAGGGCAGTGGGGCAGCACTTACCTTCCTGATGTGCTGACGTGAGTGCTGTGCTTCTAACTGATCATCTCTGTCCCAGCTCAGACTGAAGGCAGGGCCCAGCTGCGTCCAGCTGCTGTGGCCTGATTTTAAGCAAATTCTGCAGTAACTCAGAGGCGGTAGTTGTGCTTTCCTCAGCTTGGCCTCGGCACCTGTGCCCTCTCTGAGGCCCAGCAGGACCGGCTTCGGAGGACGCTGCCTCTCCCTCAGCTGCAGCCCTAGCCGTTTTCACACAGGGACTCAGTTGCCTGCACTGCGCTGAAGCTTGCGATGTTCCTGTCTCGGCCTCAGTGCTGGGCTGCCCATAGCATTGTCCCTTCTGGTACAACCCCAAAAGGAGCCAGCCCAAAAGCCTGCGCAGTAGAGCGTGGGGTGGAGCTTGTGGTAGAGACCAGGCCCAGCACCACGCATGGGAAGCAGGCTTGCTCCAGCGCTGGCCTTTCTGGAGGAAACAGGTCGCTGGGAATGAATACTTGACTAAGCTGCTCAGTGACCCCTCCCTTGGCCTGATCTTCCCTGGGCTTAGGAGCAGGTACCCCTTCCTTTGAGGGATACTGGATTATTTCCACTTTGAGGCTGGTGTGAATACTATTGGTGTGACACTGGTGTAAAAGCATCTATCTGAATTCCTACCTTCTGTTGATTTTTTTTCTGTTTGTTTTGTTTTGTTTTTTGAGACAGGGTTTCACTGTCTTTTCCAAACTGGCCTTAAACTCATTGCATAGCCCCCGGTGGGGCTGTGCCAGGCTGGCTGGGTCTGCCGGATGCTGCTCTCGTGGAACACACAGGCTGGATTGAGGACGAAGTCATCACGACTGTTGGGAGACTGAAAGTTAAGGCCCAGGGCCTTCTTTCCTCCCTTCGTTCTTTCTTTTTTTGCTTCCCTTGTTGTACTGGAAATTGAATCCAGAGCCTTTGCCCTGAACTACACCCACAGCCACTTTAAATTTTTTGTTCTTTTTTCTTTTTACTTTGAGGCAGTATATGGCTAAGCCTCCTGCCTCAGGCTGGGCTTGAAATTGGAAGTTGTCCTGCCTCGGCCTCCCAGAATGCTGGGATTATAGGTGTGGGTTAGCACACTGGGCTAAAAGTCTGCCATTTTAACCATGATTAAGTGTGCAGTCAGTCAACACATTCACAGTGTTATGTGACCATCTTCCCCATCCATCTCCAGATCCTCAATCCCAAGTATAAGCTCTGACCCAATCAGCAGAGACTGGCTAGTCCCACTTCCCTCAGCCACTGATCTCTTCTACTCTTGGTATCCGTCAACAACCTATTCTAGACATTTCATATATATGGAATCACAGTATTTGTCCTTTGCCTGGCTTATTCCACTGAGCCTAATGTTTTAAGTAGCACCAGGTACAGACACATTTTGTTTTTTTCTGGTCATGTAATATTCCAGTGCATAGATATGCCATGTTGTGTTTACCCCTTCCTTTGAGGGACACTGGATTGCTTCCACTTTGAGGCTATTGTGAATATGGTTGGTGTGACATTGGTGTAAAGGTATCTATCTGAATTCCCACCTGTTTTTATTTGTTTGTTTTGTTTTGTTTTTTGAGACAGGTTCTTACTGTCTTTTCAAAACTGGCCTTAAACTCATTGTATAGCCCAGCATGGCTTCAAACTTCCAATCCTTCTGCTTCAGCTGCCCAAGTGGTAGAATTACAGGTATGTGCACCGTGTCATAGTCCCTTTTTATTTTGATGCAGGGTCTCTCTGAGTTGTCTAGGGTGGTCTTGAACTAGGGAGGGACCTTCCTACTCAGGCTCTGGAGGGGTCAGGGCTGTGGTCCCAGGTACTTTGTGTTATTTTGCTGGAAAGCTGACTACTCTGTAGGAGAGAAGCTGAAAAATGTCCTTTCCTCATAGAAGAGACCAACCCCACCATCCCCTCAGGGGTGGGCTTCTGGCTTCCAGAGCTGTGGGGTGACACATTTTCCCGTCTGTTCAGCAGTCCAAGCACCTGCCCGAACGTTTACCTCAGTGGCTGCCACAGTTTCCATCCCCCACAACATCTGAGGCCTTCGTGCCTCCACTTCCTCTCAGAACTTCCTTTCCTGTTCTTAGATTGCAGCCAGCCTAGCAGATGTGTGGTGTCTTACTGTCTGCATTCTCGTTTTCCTAATGAGTTATGATGCTGACCATCTTTTCATGCTCTTACCAGGCACACATGTCTTCTCTTGTGATTTGTAAAATTTCTTTCTGTTTTTTGGAGACAGGTTCTTGAGATGGAGCCCAGGCTGGCTTGAACTCACGGCAGTCCTCCTGCCTCTGCCACCTGAGTGCTGGGATTCCCACCCTGGCTTCTTTTCATAGTCAAACTCTCAGCATCTGGTACACTTCATAAATATGTTT